GGATCGCTGTGAGACTCTGAACCTGGAACTCTGTGTTCTTGCCAATCTGATTGCTGAACCTGCTTTTTTCTAGGTTGTTCTGCCCACCTTGCTCTTCCACCCCACCCACCTGGGCATCCTCATGTTTGCTAGCTTTCACAAAGAAACTACCATCAGAATTGCCTCTCAAAGCATCATATGTCAAAGGGGATGACATGCCCCTTGTCCCCATCTGCAGGGTTCTCATTAGGAAAACTCAAAGAAGCGGGTGTGTTGAGAAATCTCCCTATGGTAGTTCGTGATCTGGCATCTCTATTCCCTGGGACTTGAACTTTACCCTCCTCTGAATCCATGTTTTTTTTCTTTTTAAACAGGATCAGCTCATATAAACTGGCATCTCCTCCAGGAATCCTTCCCTGGTCTACAGGAAGACTCTGCAAAAGTGTAACATCTACAGTCCAGCCACATGTCTTCAGTAAGCACACAAGAACCTTACAGCTTCCCGAGTATGGGGGTGAGCTCCCTTCCCAATTTCAGACTCTGAAGACATCACTAAAGGGAAAACAAATTGTTTGCTTGATATTCAAAAGAATTTTTATTAAGTGTCCATGTTTAATAGTTAGTCAAATCTAAGGCAACAAGCTTGACACAATGGTGAAAATATTCTAACTCATTTCATTTCTGTCCTATTGTGACTAATAACTGGAGAATTTACTAAACAATAAAAGTAAAAAAAAAAAAAACTGGAACTGCCACAGTGCCCCTCCCTACCTCCCTGCCTCCTTTCTTTCCTTCCTGCTTACATTTGATAGAAATGGGGGTAGAGGGGAATGCAGAAAGAATCGAGAGGCAGGAAAGGTTATGGCATATGAGGAATCTCATAACATGCACCAAGCGTAAGGCCCAACAATTGATGCTATCACAGAAAAAGTACACAGACACAAAGAATCTTAACCTAGTAAGTGGCCTATCTGGGGGCCCAACCTCAGTCCTTTGTGACTTCATTCTATGCATTGTACAGTGTCGTGTTGTATAGACTACTCAAGAATAAGATCCTTTAAGGGAAAAGGTGGCTTCATAGCCCTAGCCTTCCAGTAGGCTTGACACTGGCCATCCCCATCTTTACAAACACTTGCTTAGAAAGGAAGGGAGCAAGCAAGGAGGAAAGGAAGTAGATGGGTGCTGGTGTTCAGACCCCAAGATGTTGCTAAGAACAAAGTTAATGCAAAAGCTCTGATCCTTTTTTTAAAAAATTTATGTAAATGTGAGAATATATGCATATTGGTGTGGGTACTTGCCAAGGAAGAAGAGGGCATGAGGCCCCCTGGAGTTGGATTTATAGGGGATTGTGAGCTGCTCGAGTGGGTGCTGAGAACTAAATTCTAGTCTTCTGCAAGAGCAGCAAGCCTTCTCAGCCTGGCCACCGAGCCACCTCTCCAGCTCGCAGAGGACCAGATCTTAACATAAGCTTGCAAGATGTGACCCATCTGAGATTCTATGATTTGCCTGAATGATGGAGCTCAAAGCAGGATACAGACTATAGTGTGATGTGCTGGAAGGACAGGGCAGTTTAATGTCCTCCCATTTCAGATAAGGATCACCTCACTTGTTCGTTTAAAAAAAAATTAATGCATATTTTAAAGGCTTACTCCAGATTTTAACATCTGGGGATGAAGCATGGATATCATTTTATAAGTTCCCCACAAAAGTATTAATGAGCCAGCCTTCAAATGTCACCTCCTCCAAGGTGCTCTCAGTTGCACGAGACTAGCACCTTGGAACCCTGGTTCTGTCATCTGTTTTCTAAGTTGTTTAGGAAAGGTGCACCCAGGTCCTCTGAGTCTCAAAGTTTCAAGCTAAGGGGTATCTTGTGCATAGAATGAGATGTTTATATTACTCTGACACCCCTTGCCTTGTCGACACAAACATCTCCCCATTGCTTTGTAACTGAAATGCAGGTGAAAGGCTACATACTTCGGCTCATTTTGTCTAAATTAGCTTCTAGCTTGGGAACAGAGCCCCAGCTTTGGTCACACACAGGGTGGACTCAAAGGCTGCCACTATAGCTAGACCCTCATTCTGCACACTTGCAATTTTGTGACAGTACCTTTGGAGTCCTCCCCCTGCCTCTTCTGCGCTGCAGCAGCCTCTTTTATTTTCTTTATAGACGACCTTCAATTTCACCTGGTGTATCTGCCACTCTCTCTTCTCATAGGCCTACTCTGCCTCACTTCTGAGAGAACTCTGGAATCTCACTGGTCCCACCTGCTGGGTGGTATGCTGCTGCCAGCCCAGGGGAAGAGCAAATTTATTTCTTTCCATGCTTTGCAACATCATTGGTTGCATATTGTTTTAGTGTTGTACGTAATTATGGAAACTACTCTGAAAATCTGTATATTTTATCTGTGCTTTATTATGCCCAGAATATACCCCGATTCTTCTCCGTCTCTACAAACCAGCTTAAAATATATTTGGGCGTCCTTTATGTCATCTTGAAATTGAATAGCCAGTTCTTACAGTAATGAAAATACTTACGCGGCAGCCTGGTGATATACAACACTACACTCTAATTACAGCTGCGCTTTAATTAACCTGAATTGAAGAGTGTTATCATTAAACTGCTGGTAACTTTGAGTTATGGCTTTTCTTTAATTTAAAGTAGAAAACACAGATAATTAAGCCTCAAGATAATCAAATGCTTGAAGAGAGCTTCAATGTTTTGGGTTGTTCCTAAATCTCATTAAATGTCCTTTCTTTATTGATTAGTTCCACCTCTGCCGAATTGCTGCATTAAAGGAATAATAGCAGCAGGCTGAAAAGATTCTCACTCACATCAAGAAGTTGCTTTTTTTTTCATTCAAAAGCTTTACTGAACAAATACTAAATTCACTGACAACGAGGTACGTCTAAGAGATCTTTTCCCTCATTAGAACATGTTCTAAAGACAAAAATCAATCAAGGGAAATAATTCATATTTTACTAGTGTTGGGCCTGACAAGAGAGCTTCCTCTGAAACCTAGGCTTTCCATTAGCACTGAAGGCTAATGGAGCTTCATGTGGCTGGTAGCAGACAGAGTTGATCTGGGCTGTTGGGTGTCACTCCACGCTAGTTTAAGAGAAAGCATATATAGCCCTTTCATTACCGCAAGTGGGAGCCAGTTAGTGTTGGGCAAAAATATGGATCCTGTGTGGCCAACAGAGATCCATTGTTTTGCATTGTTTTGTGAAATAACCATGGTCCAAAAATACCAGCAACTAGCCTCGAGCAAATTAAATAATACCAAGTCCATGGGTCCAACGCACTCTGTGAGAATTCCAGTTAGAGCCATTTTGGGGAGAATAGTGCCCACCCTTAGTCTTTAAAAGATTTGACATTCCCATACCCCCCCCCCCCCCCCCCCGCCCAGGGGCTGAGGAATGGAGGGAAGGGAAAGGCAGAAGTGCTAGAGAGAGCTTCCTTGGGATACTCCTGTCAGGAACGACACTATTTAAAGCAGGAAACTTAATGGACAAGGAAAAGAGCTTCCAAACTTCCCAGCTAGCATCCCTGACGTCACAGGGCCTCACTCACTGCCAGCTCTGCCTTGATGCTTATCCCACCCTGAACTGAGCACAGAGGGCTTCAAGGGCCTTCTTAAAGAGCCCTGTGTGTTCATGGAAGTTCTCCTTGCTCTACACTGCCCATCATCGGAAGCAGGCTGAACTGCAGAGGAGCATCTACGTCCCACAGCAGCGGAAAGAGAAATCACTCTCAGGGAAAGGTGCTCATGGGAGTTGCAATAGGGCTTCCATTTCTAGAAAAGAACTCCTTCCAAATCAATTACCTATTCACTTTTCCAGTCTATTTAGCATTTAAACTATCGCTTAGAGACAGGGTGAGAAATTTCTGTAAACAACCAAACCATTTTAGAGTGCTTGGGGGTTTGGGCCTGGAGACTGGCAGAGAACACCTGCCTTGTTCCCTGGTGGGAGTCTCAGTCTCTCCCTTCTGCATACCAAACAAAAACAGGAACCCCAACGACCCCAGGTTTCCATTACTATCAAGAACTCTCAGTTTTGATTTAGCACCATTAGATTTGCCGCTCTAGAGTCCCAGATGGTGGGCTTGGCTGGTAAGTGACTCTTTCTCCCTCACCCTAGATCTACCTGTTTCTTCCCAGTTTGCATCAGTGAGACCATTTATTCACCTTTGCTAAAGGGTCACATACTAGTGGGTCAGGCTTAGAAGTCCACCACTTTCAGACCTCGTTCCCCCCCCCCCAGGGAACATGACCTTGCTTGATTTTATTTCAATCCATAGAGTCAAAGTGGTGAATCTGGGGGTACTGTCATGCCTCCAGGTGGACACCTGGAACTCCCAACACCAAGACACCTGATCTTCCGGAGATACAAGGTATGGCCTGCTGCAGGTGCCCTGGGAACCAGTTCCAATTCTTGCTATTTGAGCCTGGCAGTTGTGGGCAGGACCTGTTCAAGGCCTCCTTCTGTGCACTTGGCAGCAAAGTTCCTCAGTAAATAGCAAAGCACTTTAAATGTCTATATATCATGAACTTAATTAGAAGGGAGATTAAAATTCCTTTGTCCTGGAACGGGCAAGATTTGACTTTTTTTTTCTCTGTGAAAAGCAGATGGGGCTGAAGGTGAAGCCCTGAGCTCAGTCCCTAACACCATAAATAAACAAACAAATAAATAAACTAAACAAAGTAAAACAAGGGCCATGTGAGCTCATGCCACCTTTCAAAGATTTCCATTTCATAGCGGTGTTATGAAAGATGTACAGGCAAACGGCACAAATTGTAAGCGTGTACAAATCAGGGATCTAATTTCAAGATTTTGGGACCTAGAGGATAAATTGGAGCCAGTTTGACATCCAAAGGCAGGACCTGGTCAGGACACACTTTCCTGTCCACAGACATGCAGCCCTGAGCCCACAGGAGTGAGAATCGAGTGTTCCAATGAGTGCAAGCAGAGGCAGGAGACATTCCTGAGAGGCAAAGAACATCCAGTGAACAGTCACTTACTCACAAACAGTAGGGAAGGACAGACCCACGAAGGCACTGGAGAGATATTCTGTGTACATCTCATTGGATACTCCTTCCAAGTAGTATTTCTGCCACGTGTCTTCCTCAATCTAAGAGAAACGTGCACAGGAAGAGGATTTAAAACACAGCCACAACCTGAGAGAGGGGAGCTGGAGTTATATAGTCTTAGTTAAACAAAGAAATGCACTAGTCACACAATGACCTTCCTGTGGACAACCTTCTGAGCAGCTGGGAGCATACCACAGAACCACCCTTAGGCTTCCAGTGACCCCCAAAGGTACTGAGTTCAGTAGATTTCCTTCAGAGTGCTGCCTTACTCTTAAAAATGAATGTTTAGTTGCATGGATGTGTTAGAGGTGTGTGTGTGTGTGTGTGTGTGTGAGAGAGAGAGAGAGAGAGAAGAGAGAGAGACTGTGTGTGTATGTGTGACTGTGTCTGCATGAGAGTATGAACATATGTGCATGTGGGTATGTATGCCAGAAGAGGGTGTTGGATACTGCAGAGCTGGAGTTCACAGGCGTTTGCAGAATATGCAGCTTGCTATGTGAGTCCTGGATCCAGATGTGGGTCCTCACGATTATGTAGAAAACACTCTTAATGGGTAAGTTACATCTCTAGCCCTTTACAACCTCCATCATAACTTCTAAGGCTGTGGGGACATGGGACACACGAACAATAATTGTGGACAAGTTATCAGCTGACAAAAAATTCTGGAGAGCAATTTTGCAGGTGTTTTCAAAATTCATGAAACCATATACTCTTTATGCAGGCCTCCTATTTAAAGCATCTACAGTCAAGTATTTAAACAGGTAAGACAAAGTCAAGGGGCTGTGGGTTTGTTCCACTCTTGAAAGTTATGATGTTTCTACATCACAATCACATATGATACCTTTTCATGTAACTTAGGTCACATGAAATTTTAAAAATCAATGAGGAATCCTGATGAAATTTTTGGATTCTTTTATTTATATATGTAGATGTGTGTATGTATGAGTGAATGCCATGTGGACATGGGTATCAGTGGAGGCCAGAAGAAAGCATCAAATCTTCTGGAGTTACTGGTGGTTCTGAGCCACTCAGTGTGGGGGTACTAGGAACTGAACTCAAGTCCTTTGAAAGGTGAGTGAGTGCTCTTAATCACTAACAAGTTCTCTCTGGTTTTATATTTATAGGGCCATATGAAAATGTCTAGAAATGTTGATAGCAGAACAGTAACAATTATCTCTGAGTGGTAGAATACTAGTTTTTAAAATAGATTAATGTATTGTCTGAAGACTTTTACACAGGCATACATACACATATGTATATGCACTATACTCTATACACTTCTACTTTGGAAAAAATTTTTTTCACCCTATTTAGAATAACACAATAATCAAAATATAGTTTCAAAGGGGTCATGCCCAAAACTTCATTAAAATGCATGCTTTTGGTTTTTCTAAATAACACGGTCTAGCTGGGTTTCTCAACAACCATCTGCAAGCAAGGTGCTTTCCCTGGAGTCAAATCTTTGAAAACTAGTAAACTAGACAAGAAGGCTGAACCACTCTGGGAGCTGAGGAATCAGTCTCAGTGGTCTCCTTGGCTGTCTCTAAGATGCAGCCTCCTGTGCTTCACTTCCTGTGATGGCTTGACTTACAGGAAGACAACAGGAAGCTGTTCTATCCACAATATAGCTGGTAACAATGTGTTCTGGTCTTGTTCTGTAAGGAATCCTAGCCATGGTTGATCAGTCAGTTAACTTGAGAAAAATGCAACACTGGGATTTGAAGGAGACAAGGGAGCCTGGGAAAGGGCAGAGGCTTCAATGATGTGGTTATGCCCTGGCAGCCAAAATCCAGAATGAAAATTTGAGAAGTAAATGGAATGCTCCCTACTCCCATGCTGTTCATCTGCTTCATGCTCAGCCTGTGAAATCTGAGGCCATAAATTAACCTCCTTGGGAGGGCCTGGTCTGCCTGCTCCTGTATGTCAGGTGTTAGTTAACCTGTGCTGTGGGCTACTGGCTGATTATCTACAAACTGGTCTACCCCATAGTGAAGGACTTGAGAAAAGGAGTTGTCCCTCAGCCATTTCTGCTGCTTTTTCAAATATGATATTTAGCAACTCTAATTTAAATGATGTTTAGTGTGCATTAGTAAACATTTCATAATATAGAATATTTTAGCAACAATATTACCATAATTTTTGATGGTACAGAGGATACAAGAAGAACTACAGCTAATTATAAAACTTAAAGGAGGGCTTTGTGGGAAAAGAGTTTACCTGAAGTATGAGTTCTACCTATTTTTAAGAGACTTTTATATTAAAGCATTTTTTGTTATTTAACACTTTTTATCAGTCCTTTGAGGATTTCACACAATGTATTTTTATCTTAATTAACCACCTCCCTTAAGTCTTACCACAACCCGAAACTCCTACCCACCCATTTTTCTGTCCCTTTTTAAAAAAATCTTTTAATTCATCAAGTCCAATTTGTGCTGCTCATATAACTCTTGGATGTGTGTTAATCTACTAAAGTATGGTTGACCTACCAGGAGCCATGCCTTTAATGACAATTGATGCTTCTTTTCCCAACAGCTATCAATTGTCAGTAACTCCTCAGCCAGGGGTGGGACTTCATATTTCATGCCCACCTCCTATCCTTGTGCTTGGACAGTGCTTTAATAATATGCCAGACATTTTCTCTAATTTTAACGTTACAAGTGATTTTCAAAAATACTGACGATGTAAACCTTACCTTAATGTTACTGTTATTCTCCAGTTAATATGATTTTAAGATTAATCGTTTAATTATGGTCATTATTTTCATGCCTCTGTGTATAAGGAATATTAACATTTTAGAACAAGTTTTTGCTATAGGTTAATCAATAAATTTGGTAAATAGGTAGAAACAGATGCTTTATCAAATAACAATATTGGTCATGCTTCTGTTAAACTTAGCAAAAATATTTCATTGATTCATTCACTCAGGAAATATTTACTGAATATGTTTGCTATTGTAAGGCTTATCTAGAGGCAGATTAAATATGATTTTAAACTGGTGTTTTCTTTCCCACATTTTTCCTTATGTTGGAAAAAGCACTACATTACTTGGATAGGATAAAAGTGAGCATTCTACTAGATACATCTGTCTTCCTTTGATTTTGCACATTTCTTTTCCCCAAACTTTGCTTCTGTGGCTAATCTGAAGTGGTTGTGGACTCTAAGTCAAAAAAATGTAAAAAAAAAAAGTTCAAACTATTCTAAAAAACAAAATCCCTCTTCCACATCCATATGTAAATTCTCTGATGGTATCCACAAGGCTGGACATAGTGGCATCAAATCAACTGTACAAATGGTAAGTAGTTCAAAATTCATTGTCCTGACTCTTTAAGCCCTTCAAATCTTTGGAGTTATTTACACATGCACAACCTACAATGTATTTTAAAATTACCAATTAAGGCATCAAACACAAACACACACACACACACACACACACACACACACAAATATAAAACTGCTAATTTAATTACACTAGCATCTTTTCAAAAGACATGTAGTTAGTAGGGATGTAAACTGGTCCAGATGCTATGGGAAACAGTGGAGTAGTTCTTGAATTCAAAATATAATTGCTATATGGCCAGCATTTCTGCTCCTGAATTCATAACTAGAGAAAATGGGAAGGGATCATAATAGCATTACTTATGATAACTTAGAGTTTGAAGGGACCCAAGTGTCCATGGAAGGATGTGCAGATCCTCAAAGGCATATTTCAGCCTTCTCAAGAAAGGAAATTCTGACACATGCTGCAGTATGGATAAACCTGACAACATTATGCTAAGTCAAGAAGACCATAATCACAAAAGACAAGTATTTAGTGTAGGGGGGGATAGGTTTAGTTACTTGAGGCCCATTCCTGAAATCCTAGAATAGACAGTGCAAAGGTGGTGGCAGAGGTTGGGGGCAGTCATTGTTTTCATGGTACAAAGTGTCAATTGTGCAAAACGAGAAAAATTCTGAAGATGGATGGTGGTGATGGCTACACAGCCATGTAAATGTACTTCATGCCAATGAGCTACACACTTAAAAATGGCTACAGTGGTTAGTTTTTATGTCATATGCATTTCATCACAATTGAAAAACATTTACAGCCCTCATGATTGTAACTGATAACAACTAAACTCAAGGATGTTAAACCATGAAACGAGTGAGTCAGGGTCGGGAATCAGCCCTGTTGTCAGCAGGATCTCCTCAGGCCTTGCAATGTGCATTGAAAGAATTCAGAGAAGCCTTGCAGAACACTGTGCAGAGGAAAGGTGGAGTTGATTACAGAGCATCCCCAAGAGCTAAGGGCAAACAGAATGCAGAGTAAGAGTGCAGCTTGTCTTTTAATAGAATGCCTTGTCTGGCTACACAATAATATTAGGAGCTCAAGGGCAGTTTAGAACATCATGTCACCAAGGACCAAAACATTAAACTCATATCCCATTTTTTTTAACCATATGAGATATCCAGGCTATCTTGAGTTTGCCATGAGACCAAGGATGGCCTTGAATTTGAACTTCTGTCCTTGTCTCTGCCTCCCAAGTGCTGGGATTACAGGACTGCATCGCCATACCCAGTTTATTAGTACTAGAGATGGAACACTGCCATGCAAGCACTCCACTAACTGCTATATCTCAAACCCAGACTCTATTCTTTGGACCAGTAATCAAAATCCTGCCCTTATAGTTTCCGGCTTCCTAAGCTGCTGATTAAAATGGAGGAGTTCAGCTGGACCCTGTGACAAACAATTCCTCGGACATCTGACTATCTACTTAACACTATGACACTGTACCATATCCCAATATAGGGAAATGGAACTTCACTCTCCCTAGCCTGTATCAGGGCTTAACCCATGACATTTGATCGTGGTTTAGCTTCCTAAGTCTCAAGCATGTTAACAAGCAATGACAAAAACAAACAAACAAACAAAACAACAACAACAAAAAAAAAAAAAAAAAACCACATCCCTTTCATCTATGTCAATGGAACCACCACAGGAGAGGAGTCGTAAATGTAAAATAGGTTGAATTTTAAAACTGTGTGTTTAGCAACAAGAGAGGGA